GGGGATAGTGTTTTGAACTGTTGCCCTCGGCCTACGGCCTTGGGCAACAGTTCAAAACACTACCCCCTGCACCTCGGGCCCACAGTTTGACTATTCCCAAATCACATATGAAATAACTGTATACTGTTACTCACAAACCCATGTGTTATAACTATGGAATGTCATTGACTGAATGAGTGAAATACTATTTAAAAAAAGTAAACCTAATGTGTAATTTGTTCATGATGTACGCTATAAATATGCTAAGACTTTTTAGGATTTCGCCGTTTCTACTTTTAAGAAGTTCTTGGTATTTATTGTATTTGGATAACTGTGAAAATAATTTGGAATAAGCTGCTTTCTTGTTTCGGTGAAACATTTTGGCATAGTGGGTACTTTCTATTAACATATGAGATATATTAGACCAACGGCCATTTTCAAAAGGGAATTTATGATTTGCAGTTCGAAAAGGTAAGTGTTTTGGCAATGATGTCAAATAATCTTCACGCTCAAACTGATATTTAAACAAGTTATAGAGTTTGTCTTTATTTGATACTTGCATTTTATTAAACCAGTCGGTAATGAATTGATCAATCAGTGTTTGTATGTTTAATTAACAATTATCTACTACACAAACTTTTCTATCTCCAACGTTTCGAGGGGTTAAACTCCTCTTTTTCAAGGAATTTCTGTTTATTTTTATAAATCACATATTTATCTTCTGGCATGTCTTCTTGCATTGTAATTTTTCTGCTGTTTTTACTAAAACCATTAAACGTTTTATTAAAAGAGGTTATGACCCTACTATTTTAAGACATACTGCATGTTTAGTGTTCAACCCTTTTACAGTTGGACACTACGCTTTCCTCTTTTGATTGCATCTGACGGACCGAGTGGGAGAGTCTATGAAGGATAGTTCGTAAAGCCCTTTGGGACTGAATTGTCTTAATGTTCGTCTTCTGCCTTGCTTCGTCGGGCCCTTGTAGGTGATTTTCTTGTTGCTCTGTCTTCCTTTAGGACATTGAGTACTTTTGTTATGGTCATTGGGTTTACTTTAATATTTTTCTACATGATCATTTTAGTGTTTTACTTATTTAATATTTTGTAACCATGAAAACTGTTAGAATTTCACTTGGCGGGGATTCATTTTATTTACACTGTCTCGTTTATAGGAACATGGTGAGGCTAAGAGCGAGGTTTGGTGCACCATTAACCGGTTTAAACTCCCAAGCAGTCATTATTATGCTGCTGACCGTTCCAAGGCGGCGCCCCACAGTGTTCCTCAGATGTATGTCTATGTTGTTTCATACTGTTTTGGTGACACTTTTGCTTGTGTCCCTTGTTGTTTTCTCGTCTACGGTAAGTATCTTCCCCATTGCCTCTAGTTTTTATATCTTTGATTAACCCCCCTCTTCTCCCGGTCTCCTGTCCCCTTCCCCTTTGTGGGCCTATTATTATTTTCTTTGAATTCCTAATCAGTTACAAATTATTTATCATTTAATGATTAACCTGTCCGTGTTCTGTCCTGTTTTTGTTTGGGGTCCGCCTGGGCTCCTTGCCATTGGTTCTTGTTGCTGGGTCATATGGGGTTTAGGTTCATTGAACGCCGCATTTCCTTGTTGATCTTGTTTATCATATTTTATCTTAAACTATGTTATGTATACAGGAAATGACGTCGTTGACGTCAACAATAAAAAATACGGAAAACATGATGATGACGTTTTCCGTCAAAATTGTTCCACTGCATAACGTTGTTCCCCTTATTCACTGTTATATAATTATAATATTAACATAGCAAGAAATGTACAACTTATTTCATTGAGAATACATGAATAATAATAATAATTATAATGATAATAATAATAAAATGGATAATGATAATAATTATAATTATTATTAAAATTTTCTACTAAACCATTCTAATAATAGTAATATAGAGGATATTTGTTTGTTTTGCATGTAAGATTGAAATATAATTTCACTGAGTGAACACCAGATGCAATATTTTCACGAGTGGCGTAGCCACGAGTGAAAATATAATAGCTGGTGTACACGAATGAAATATATTTCAATCATATATGTAAAACAAATAAATTTTCTTTTTATTTCATGCTTTTTAAGTGATTTTAAGTATTTTTTACTGATTTTGCCGCGTTACGTCGCGCGTTCTCCTTTTTGACGTCATCACATCATGACGTCACATCATAAATTTTGAAATATAGTTCTGTTAAATTCCTCTAACTTTGTTACGTTTTTAACATGATGTATGGTGACATCGACTTTCTTTTCCTAAAGAAGCAAAATTTACGCATGACGGCATTTATTTCTGCCCGTTATTCCACTTAGTTATGATTTTCTTTTCATACGAATTAGATATAGTTCGGCTACAGTGAAAATTATATTTTATAAATTTCACTAGTGGTTTATCAGAATATAATCATCTGATATATTACAATAAAACACTGGAAAGCATGAAATAAAATATTTATAATAGCAAATAATTTATTGATAATAAAAATAAAAATAATAATAACAATGGTAATAATAATAAAAATAACAATAGTAATAATTTTAATAATGATAATAATAATAATTACAATAATAATAATAATTATAATAATAATAATGATTAAAATAATCATGGCATGAATTAACCGTTAAAATTATAATAATTATAATTATTATAATTTTTATTATGATAATGATAATCATAGCAGCAAATAACCGTAAACTTAATAATAATAATAATGATGATAATAAATAATAATAAAAGTTATTATAGTAATAATATTATTAATAATAATAATAATCATAATAATGATAAGTGATAAGTGGTAAGCAGGGACTAACTTAACTAAATTACTATGTTTTAGTAGCTAGAAAAATAAAAAAGAATAGATTGCAACAACGCAATATTACAACGATACCGACGAATGCAATAATAACTGTCATATACTAACATATACTGATAAATTCTAAAGCGCATATCATTGTCATTGTGTTTAATTAACAAATGTACGTTACATAAGTTCGACGAATTTTGATTATATGGTTAACGCACGTTTTTCCGTGTTATAAAGTCTGCAGAGTCCCGAGGAACGGTTGGTGCCCGAGCCCGGTTATAGCTCTTGTTATAGCCCAGTTTTACCTATGCGCAATACATACAGGGTCCAGTAAACAAACAAACAAAAAATGACGATTTGGCCTTGTTTGCCAAAGAGTCATGCGCTTTTGTTATATTGAAATTATTGATTCGAGGGCATCAATCGCATAAATAACGGCGAGCAGCATTCAAGTAACTATGCCGGAAATATGGCGTATAGAAATCGCCGCTAATCGTAGTTGTCGCCCTTTCTAAGAAAAGGACCTTTGTCAATGTAAACAAACCCAAACTCCTCACAGTGATTACCTCCCTTGGCAGAATCTACGCCGAAGAATTAAGGGGAGATCTCTGCGTGGAGATTGAAACAAACCCTCCGAGTAACTTACAAAACAAGATAACACAAAATGAATAAATTATCTTGATTAAAATATTTTGAAGTTTCTGGTGGAATATACATGACACCAATAATAACATGTTTACGACTAACAGGTGTACAATTCATAAATTTTAACCACATACTATAATCGGAGCTAGAATCAATAATTTCTATTTTATCATGTTGACTGGTCTTTACAAAAATACACAGACCACCGGACTTTCGTATTAAAGCTAGGTTGTTTAAAGAACTGGTAACCATCTATAAATATATCGTCATACTGGTCTATTTTGCACTCAAAACAGCAAAATATATCAAATTGCTTTACAAGATCAACAAATTCTGGATAAATTACTCTACCCTTTATGCCACAAACATTAAGAGTACCAATTTTTAAACACTTATAATTCACTGACCCCTGTGTGTCCTAGGTTTTAACATTGTGTTGTCTTGATTCAACAGGCGGTGATTCATTCACATGTTGGGAATTGGTACGGGTTTTCTGTTTTGTATCTATGAGTGGGTATTTGGATCCGTGACAATATCACTCGGAAGTAAAATACTTAGACCCTCGAGGGGCATTCATGTACAATGACGTGGTTAATAACGTACATTGTGATTGTGATAATTGGAATTTCAATATCTTGAAACGACAAAAGGAAGCGTGCATTTACCTTTGTGTTAAGAAATACTTTATTAAAATGTGTTATTTCTAGATAACGATGAAAACTAAAACTGTTTTTAAACTGATAAAAACCTATTTTTTGTTGTTGTTCTATATAATTAATACAAAAGTTCAACTTTAATCGTCAATATCCTTCAAACAAGATGATCCTTTTCCATTGTGTAAAAATGCTTTGTTTGTTATATATTTGTATGTACATTATATATCCTTTCGGGAATAAATATGTTTAAACTAAACAAGATGATAACTTTTGTTATATTTTATATTTGAAAATATTATAAAGGATTATACAGTATAATACCGTTAAGTTAAAAAAAATAAAGTTTTAAATTCAAAATTATATATCTAATATCATAAGTCATGCAAAACCTTATTTTTATACACATATATGCTAGTTTGAAATATTACGAGCGTTTGATCACTAACTAATGATACACTGTTAGTACTATTTCAATAAACAGTTTAGATAATATCTGAAAGTGGTCAATAAAGATAAGCCCGTCTTACTAACAGAAGAACATTCACAAAATTTAACAGTCCAGGGTGTCATGCTATGATCAGTTATAATCTTACAATAAAATGACTGAGATAACTTATTCATTTTTGCTTAAAATACATCATGCTCATATCATTTTTATATTGGACGGTTATATCAAATATACATTAATCATTTGAAAACGCCAGAGTAAAAGTCTTAAATATACAAAACACGGAAAGAAAACAACCAGCCAGTGGGAAATTAAAATAAAATTATTGATAAACTGATAGTCTATTGATCAATTTAATCGTTTTAATCTTAGTTCACTAGGATTTCACAACTACCAGCAAAGACATTTTAAGGATTTCCAATAAAGCATTAAATGTTCACCAGGTAGTGTGTGATAAGTCAGGCTTTAGTTCGCTAAATCATTTAAATTTATCAGTCTGTGATCACAATCAAACAGTGTTGGAAACAGATATACAGAGGTATACATCATGTGCGGATTTGATAGGTTTTGACCACTGAAAGATACTCAGATCAGGTAAGTTGGATTCCATATAGAAGATAATGACAATATATGTAATTTCGATGCTTCTATTAACACCGCTGTTGCTCTATTCATCATCTTAAGAAATCATTATTATAAATTGAAAATAAGACCAGACGTTGAGGACATGGAATTGTATTAATGCACATATTCCATCATGGTTGATAAAATTGGAACTTGCATTGTGCTTGATTTCATCTTGCTTTATGATATTTAAATTGTGCCATGCTTGATTCCAATTTGCATTATTTCATTCAAACTTGCGTAGTGACTAAAACATTCATTTAGTGATAACTATTGAACTTGCATAAGTCAATTATTATACAGTTTTGGAAGATTAAAATTAATAACGTGATAACCTTTATGTATTTATCTTTCTTCTTTTTGATACAACCTTTTTACAGTTTAGTTCATTTGTATTACTTTTTTATAGAAATCATTCAAAACTAAATAGTTTTACTCCAGTAGTACCGAAAATTACAAAAAAATGATTTCGTTAAAGTTCAGGTTTAACCTTCTTAAAGTTTTAGAAGATAATATTGCAAAATTGCATTTTGCCTACCGCTAAGTCCTTAGTGATAATATCGCGAGAATAATAAAGAATCCCCAAAGAACACACAAAACGACAAAATTGAAAATTTTGCAACCTTTTAAAATTTGGTTGTATGTAATATTTCCCTGGTAGGTAATTATTGCGTAATTCATCATAAAAGACACATATAAGTAAGAAATGATATTGATCTTCAACACAGTTTTTATCAAACAATTAGCAGAGTCGTTCATTTCTTGGGTATGTGTATATCTTCCCTTTCCTACTAAAATAGCCAGACTGCCAATTCTAAAGTTTCTTTATATGAGTCTTTTCTCTTTTTTTAAATCGAATACATATAAATAATGTTCAAAAGAAAAAACAACATCTTTTAACAATTTGTTACTTTCTAACTAATAATTATTGTCAACATTCGAATTCCACTCTTGGATGCTCATATCTTTCACTCTATTTACAAATACATTTAAAAAAAACATTGTCATTTTGTAAACCTTTGTTACGCCACACATAACCAAATCCGTATATAAATAATTGAAATTGAAATAACCATTTGAGACATCATTTAGTATCATTATATAACTTTTTACAATTGTTTCTTTAGGCATCTTAATAATTTTCAACCAATATTATACATGTATAGCTCTTTTTAAGTTTTAACATATAATTATAGTGGATAACCTAGCGCATTCACCTAAAACAGCACAATTTGACGAGTTTTGTTTTACACGCATAAACACATAAACCTTTTACAAGCATAGTTTTGTACATGTTAAAGTTCATCAAATTCATTTATACCCTAAACAAATCCGTACAATACTTGATAACAAATTGTATTATCATTTTATAAAGACAGTCTTTGTTGTCTGGTCGTGATGATACAATTAATTTGAAATGATATTAATTCGCGCTTTGCTTTTACACACAGTTCGTGAATCATAGAATTCAAACACAATTTTTGTGTCAATATTAAACCTACGTTACAAAAATCGTTGTATTATAGTTTGGGGACCTTTCTGTTGAAAATATGTCAAGGTTAAATCGTGTACATATACATGCACAGTGCGTTAACTGGTGGAGTGCATGTATCAGTTACCCGCACTCCAGAGCATGCCCATTGATTGGCTCATTTTTGCTGGGGTTTACTTCTTGTGACGGCAGGGAAAGAATATCATATTCAGATGCTCGTTCATTGGTTATTTTTTTCTGGGGTCTCATACTGCGGCAGGGAACGTGTTTTTTATGTTTGACAATGATACAAAAGAGAAAGGACATCAAAACACTCGGCAATCTGATTAATACTCGAAGGCTACGCCCCCTCGTACAAATCAGATAGCCTCGTGTTTCTATTACTTAACAGCTTGTAATTTCATGCTTCTATAAACCATTTTGCATGTCTAAACAATATTATTGAAAGCAACAATTTAAAACACAAAATAAAATCGGTATGTTTTTTTAGTTCAACTTGGTCGTTTCAAATGTTAGGTATCAACATCATCTGTACTCTGTAATCTGTACCATATATTTAAAGTTTTATGTTTGATATAATTAATAGAAATTTCACCAGAATCATGCTTTATGTGTTATGCCATTCATACTTTCTACGGTTATATCAATAGAAATATACGTAAACCTTTAGCTGGCAAAACGATTAATATTAAGAAACGTCCTAAATGACGTGGTTATTTAATTCGATGGTCAGCGGCGTGTTTTATTAATTAAGCTTTTAACTTATTTTATCTTTTTAATTTATTGCATTTATTAATTAATAAATTTATTTTATTAAAATTCCTATAAAACAAACAATTTCCGCTTTTTAAACGCACTCTAAACAAAGCTTTAAATTACATAACGTTAGATATTAGTATTTACCTATGTTGATCATCTTCAAATTTCAGATAGCTCAATATTCAATCGGTCTAGGTTAGAATTTCATTTTTTAAGGAAAAGCATATTTATTTTAGCTGACTCAAAATTTAATTGTCATTCGCAATTTAACTTAGATTTTTTTAATTTGCAGTTTTAGGCTTGCACAGATTTTTAACTTAGCTAAAAATTAACTTAACAATTAAATTTTGATATTTGATGTAAGTGCTTGTATTTGCACGTTATCACTGTCCAGTGATCTATGGCGTTATTTGGCTTGAATATGACGCTCTCCGCTGTTATTTAGATGTTGATAATTGGTTGCTGGTCACCATTATGCACTTGACCTTTTCTCTACTGTCAATCTGAAGTCATTTTCGCAATTTCTGAGGATCAGGTTTTGTCTTATGTACAGTTATTGATTTTTTTCTTGAGTTTTTAAATATTCAATGTTAAGCTTTGTTGATTGATTATGTCAGCTAATTAATATTTGTGTGCAAGTGACTACAGTCCAATCAAAGACAGCAGCCATCTTGAAAGTCACTAACAGCTATTTTAAAGGTGAACTCATTCACTGGCTCATTATGAAAAAAAATGATGCCAAGTAGCAAGGCGGCCAAAACTGCATAATGATATTGCCATAATGGCCTTGAAATATCCGTGACTTTGCTACTATTTATAGTTACATAGGTAATAAATTCATATCAAACTCGTATGTACCATAAAATGTTCACCTGAATTTTAATTTTAAGCATTACAATTCAGAATCGTTCGTATTAGTAGTTTGATTCGAATCAAGTAAGGCCGATTTGTGCATATGTCAGATGAATGTAAAAAGGGTAATTTGTTATTGTAACATTCTTTAGTGTTTTAAATGTTATTAGAATTTAACAGGCTATGAAAACAATGATGTTACTAGTGGTCCATGCCATCTTACTAGGCATACTTTATCAACATGTTGAGTGTAATAGGCAGTTCTATGGCGGTTCCATGAGCTATTCCATGAAAGAACAACATAGCGGTGACCAACTGGTGAGTAGTTATTGCAAATTTATCACATACCCGTTCCGCTTTTACGACTTCGTAAAAATGGTATCGCACGGCCGTGCATATCTTTTGACGTAACGTCATTTGCGTTTTATAATACTGCACGTTTGTAACGTCGCTTTTCATTGGATAATCGTGACGTTTCTATAGTTTTATATACACGGCTGTTGTCGATTCATGAAGAAATCTTTTTTTTTTCTCTAAAAAATATGATTGTTGTATTATAACTTCGTTATAATGATTGTTGACAGGTTATATAGCCGTATATTAACGGCTGTTTGCAATATAACCCTCGCCTAGCGGCTCAGGCTATATTTACAAACCGCCGTTTATATACAGCCATATAACCTGACCTGCCAACGATCTTTATAAGTAATATTATAATACTGCACGTTTGTAACGTCATTTTTCATTGGATAATCGTGACATTTATTTAGTTTTATATACAAGGCTGCTGTCGATTCATGAAGAAATCTTACTTTTTTCTATAAAAATGATGCTAACGGCTCGGGTTATATTTACAAATAGCCGTTTATATAGGGCCATATAACCTGTCAACGATCTTTATAACTAATAATATAAACATAGCGTTGAGATGCACTAAATATTAGCGTAATACTGTAGGCTCGTCAAAGTTTTTTATTACTCCAAACGGTCTTTATTTTGGTGTGTGATAAATATCAAATTCATGTAAGTTCATTACTAAATTTATTAAACTCGTTGAATAAAATGATATCATGCTTGCCGCAGGCTCGCATAATATAATTTTATCACATAGACTACACTGTGGCGCAGTAATAACAAAGCCGTTTATTACATGTTTTTCGGTTGTTTATTGTTTATATAAATATATCAGTGAAATGAAAAACTGATAATTTCACTGTTTCAAACAATGAAATTATCAATTTGATAATTTCACTGTTTTGAATTTAAGCCCTTTATGTTGTTTCAGTGAAATACCAGCGTACACAGTACTGGAAATCAACTTAATGGCGTAACGTCATAAATGACGCCACGTTTTATTATTATTTGGCTCGCTTTTCATTAAGAATTAGGTTAAACACTCATTCTCGATTCTCATTAAGTACGACATTTCATAAATTCTAGAAGTGAAAAATGAACTTTCTTGTCTATTAAAATTCTATTCCATTCCAAAATTATAAGTATCTCGACATCTTAAATATAAAATATTACCAGTACAGATGTCCTAGATTTTTCCCTATGACAGGTTTTCTAGATAGAACCAGAAAATAAATTTCGTCATTTTCGAGACAATGGTTCTTAAATTTGTGCATAGGGTATGGCGATTTTATTTGGTCTCTTACAATAAACTTTCTATCATCTATTTATATGAACATCTGGAAATGAGAATCAATCATTAAACTGACAAAAACAACTCATGGAAATGCATTTCATATCGAATATGCTTAAATCTCATTTTCAAAATGAATAACCTTACAAAATCCACAGATCCAAACAATGGACGAGTAAGAAAATGTGAAAATTACTGACGAATTCTTGAAAGTACCTACTTATTTATTATTCAATTGTCAAATGTGAAATAATTTACGTCATCTCATATATTGACAATTTATTAAGGACTCGTAAATGATTTTCCAATTGTCCCGTAAGTGACCCAGTCTCCAGATGCTATGGATTGACAGAAATAAATGTAAATACTTTGAATTATACATTTATAATGATTGAAGATTAACTAATATTTATTTATGAAATGGAGCAGATATTCCTTTGTCAAGGTTGGGCCATGATAACAATATTCAAACAATTGAACTGAAAATAGTCAAAAAATGAGTAAAAGATCGTAGAAATGGTCTTAGAAGTTCAATAAAATTGCTAGATTTGCATAAAATCCAAGTTAGTGTAAACGAAAACAATACTACGAATCAAAACAAATATTTTTTTCTTTTAGAAATATCACTTTCATTGAGAAAATCACTGTTTTATAATTTTCTTTCGCTCTGGTCATTTACGGGACAAGTCAATCTTATTACTATTATCTTATAATTGAACTGCAAAATAATGTACAGTATGTTTGTTTAAACAGATATTAAGTATCTAGATAAACTAAAATATTTTATATCAAGATGATTGAAAGTCATATTCCATTTAACTGAAACATCAATGAAAATGTTATAAATTTTTCAGAATGTATTTATTTAAGGACAAGTACTAGGTAAATCTCTCAATATCTGCGCGCGGATTCAAAATTTCCTATTACTCGAATTAATTTTACCATTTACGGGACAGTTCAGCCACATACGGTACACGCCTGTTTTCATGTTTACTTCATTTTTGTGATTGAAGTATAAGTCTAAATGTATTCGTATATGAAAGTAAGTATCCATTGAACTCTATAATAGTCAAAACCTCTGAATACCAATTACAATATCAAAATTATGATTTTTAGAAGCTATCTGCAAGTGAAAAACACATTTCAGATGCGTATGTTTAAAAAAAAACATGGATTCTATTGTCGTGGAAGAATACTATTCCAACAATACCAACGTCCATTAACATGTTGAAATAATTCAACAAATTTAGCAGAATAAATCACAAGAGAATGTGATAGAGGGTGAGTCCCGTAAATGATAGGCTCGTAAATGTTGCAAATTTCTGTTTTATGAGAAATTTTGAATGGTTTACATGGATGACAGAATATAAGCAAGACAAATATCCGCTCTAGATATCTGAAGTATTATAACATTGAAATAATTGAAAATTTATTGCAAACCGCATGGTATTGATGAGCCTCGTAAATGATTTTGTAAAAATTACCCTTGTGAAATCCTCAACAAAATGGTTGTACAGATACTCTTAATCTCCATATGTTATGTTAACAATATTACTGTAGACTTATATTACTAATGAAATAACCATTTATACGTTACCATGTATGATTTACATTGTTTTCAATTAAGACTCGTATATGATTTCGACTTTGAAGACAAGCAATTCAAATTTGATTTTGAGAAAATTATTTTTCGTAATATAAAAAACAGTTTTATATGTTAAAATCTGCAATAGAATAACGAAAATAAGCTGTGTTTACTGTTAACCACGACATTTTGTACGAAGATACGTGCAGTGAACCATTCTTCGATTTAGTTCAAGACATGCGCAGCCACTCGTGAAATATACATTTTGGTGCTCACTCGGTGAAGTATATTCCGATCTTACACTGAAAACTAAACAAACATCATCTATTCATTACATGCTTTTTGGTTGTTTATAGAAATATATCAGTAACGTTAATATAAAAAACTGATAATTTCACTGTTTTGAATTTAAGCCCCTTACGTTTTTTTTAGTGAAATACCAGCGTGCACAGTACTGGAAACCAGCCAAATGACCTTGTGAACACCAAAAGTCTATATTTCACTTATGGCTGCGCCACTCGTGAAATATACCTTTTGGTGCTCACTCGGTGAAATATTAAGAGATTAATACACGGCATAGTAGGGCCGGAAGGTGATAATCGGCCCGCAAAATGAATAATGGCCCCGAGGGATTCAGCCCGAGGGCATTATTCATTTTAGGGCCGATTATCACCTTCTGGCACAGCTATGACGTGTATTAATGTCTTTAATACACTTAATGGATCTTTAATAGTAGCATTTTTCTTAAAAAAATAATTTGGTATTTCTTTAGTTGAAATTTCCGTCTCTGTAATTTTACTGTACTGTACAGAGTTGTTTACTTTTTGTTTGTTTAAAGTACGGTAGAATCTAGTTCTAAGCAAGTTTCATTTTCATTGTATCGGAATGAATATGTCGTATTATTTCCTTACATTTTAATAATTTAAAAACTGTGTATATACGAAATACGCTAAAGCTCTCATCATAAAATCAAGCGATTCGTGCTTAAAATCTACTTTCACTTTCATGCACAGTTAACTGCTTGATGACGTAAAATATGACGTCATTGTTTCAGTTTGTGCACGTGCACATGTTCGGCGGGCTGATAACTAGTTCTCGGCCCGGGGCCGTAAACTCATTATAGGTCACGTGACACTCATCGTCATACTTTACGTCATCAAACAGTTAACTGTAAAAGTGAAAGAAGGTTTAATATTGTTCCGCCCATTGTTTTCTCGTTTAGGGCACACGCATTCTTTTACTTGGGGAGCATACGCTGATTTTCATGGAATGGCACTATTGTGTCACATTGTAGGTTCCATGATAACCGCCGTATGAACATATCTGTGAATGTTTCTTAATTCAAAAATTCACCATTTTGTGTTTAAATGTTGATTTCTGCTTAAGCCGGTGCTAGGGGGCGTGGACGGTAACTTGCACTTTCCAGTACCGTCCATGAACAGGCTCAATCAAAACGAGCCTGCAAAATTTTACAATTTTGCCGTGTTGGACTTTCTTTAGGGATTCTGTTTTTCTCTATTTAAGCACAAATCGCTTGATTTTATAATGAGAGATTAAGCGTATTTCGTACAAACAGAGTTTTATCACTATCGAAATTTAAAGAAATAATACGACAAATTCATTCCGAAAAAAAAAGAAAATACAACTTGCTTCTAGATTCAGCAGTAGTGCACTTTGATGAACAAAAAGTAATCAGCTCTGTAGAAGTTACTGAAAGTGTACTGTAAAGTACAGTAGAAATGCAGACAGGAATTTCAACGAAAATAAATTTCAAAGTAGATCTACTTTAATTCTTTCTCTGATTATGAAAAAAAAAAACTAATATTAGATCTACCAAGTGTATTAAAGACATTAACACACGGCAGAGTAGGGCCGGAAGGTGATAATTGGCCCTGAAATGAATAATGCCCTCGAGCTGAAGCCCTTGGGGCCATTTTTCATTCTGCCGTGTATATTAATCTCTTACAGTTACGTCCCTTGGTATAACATGGTGTACATTTTTTGGTAGTGATTAATTTCTAAGTTATTAGTAAAATGGGGATAGATATCAGCACTTGGAGGTTACGTATAGGTGTGTTTTCACAAAAG